TTAGAGAACTTTCAGCAGGACCATAAATCACATTTCATTATCAGGCACCTAGTCAATCAAGTTCACTACCTTTATGTTCACTTTTCTTTTTATGTTTTTAACTAGCTTTATGTTGATCAAAGAATACAGATGGGTTGTTGCTAAGGCAATGAGAACTGTCAGCCAGGAGGACTAGAGGTGATTGTGGGGATTGCCAAACACCGGCCCAAGGCTTGAGCTTCTGCATCTGTAAAGTCAGCCTGGGTGGTAGACTTGGAGTCTTTGATTCTGTGAAATATTTGGGGCTGGAGCGGGGAGAGTTACCACACCTTGTCATGAGAGCTCCACCCCCTAGAACTGAGGAAAAGAGTTTACACATCCAGAAATAGGGTGACCTGTGGCTCTTTGGAGTCCTCCCAGGGATGACTCGTGTCCACGTGACCCGTGTGGGTGCTCACCTAGGTCCTCTACATAGGTCACGTATGCAGTTTCACCAGAGATCCTCCAAATTGCCTCACTAGAATGAAGAAAAACAAAGGCGCTCTTACTTGGTAGATTCCACTGGATGTATTTGGCACTCATTAAACATATAAACAGTATTGGATGGATATCCATCTACTGGGATGGATACTGCCAATACACAATACACTTCCCATACCTATATTTCTGTGAGAAAAGGACAGACATGCCACATTATAAGGTCAGTGCTACAAGGGAAGGGTAGGCAGACCACCTGAGAGGCCCTGGCTAACCTCTGATGGGTCAGGCGTTGAACTCAGAAGTTCATATAACCTCATATAGGGATGTTCCATTAGGTTGGAGGAAAAGCAGACCCAGGAAAAATCATGCTGGAAACTTAGATTATAAGCATGACATCTGATCCAGCTCTGTTACAATGGGGGCACAAACATTAAACCAAAAATGTAAAGACATAACTGTAGAATTTCCATTGTGTTAAATGCCAAAAAATGAAAAATAGATGGTATTAATACCATCTATTTTTCATTTCATTCCATTTTTTCCTCATTTTTCATTTCAACAGGAGGCTTTTGACATGGTCTGCTGGATTTAGAATGCCCACCCCCCCCCCAAATGACACTTAAGCTGAGACAATAAACAAGCCTGAGGACTTAGCCAGACCAAGCAGCATTATCTCCCCCTGGCAAAATGAATTGGGCAGTTTTCTGTGGTTTGCAATATTCTATGATGATTTAGATGGCTGTGTTTTTTGATGATAATTTTGTAGTATCAATCCTATATGTGTGGTTACAACCCCTTTCTCTTTTCTAATGTTGGCTATTAGTTTCTCCTGATTGAACTATCTACAGAGTTCGTCTTTTTTTATTGCTGTTTCTCTTCAAAAGTCTCTGGTCCTTGATGTATCATCTATACTGTTTTTCTCGTTTCAAATTCTTTGTTTTCCATATTTGTTCTGTGGGTATGTTTTGAGTGTTGGGGGCTGTGCCAGTGATGGACAGTGCATTGGAGAATGGAGCCGAGGAGCCAGGAGGCCAGATAGGGGCTGGCAGAATCCTGGCAAAAGACCATGGCCTTCTGGAACAGGACAGGGAGTGAGGCCTGGAGGGATTCCTGGGACATTTGCCGAGTAGGATTAGAGGATGTGGGGTGAGGAAGAGACTTCAATCAAACCTGAGACCCTGGACTCTGATTAAGCCCACTGGGTGGATTGTGATGCAGAGGATTTGGGACAAAGGAGATTTTAGGACTTAAGAGAATGCTTCTCCTGCAAGGTGTCAGCTGGCTGTTGTCCTGCCATTTTCTGGGGAACTTCTCCTGCATTTTGACGAGAGGGCTTTGCCAAGGTATTTTTAGGCAGTGACTCAGCAGGGAAGGCTTTTCCAGAATCCCCACCTTAAGTGAATGGTCTCCACCCCTGATTTCCTGAGGGCAGCGGTGGAGCAGAGGCAGGGCTCTGTGCCAGCTCAAGTTCTCCTTTGGAGGCAGAGTTCACAGGCTGCAAAGTGGGGAACCTTTCCAGAAGACAGTTCCAACCACTGGCTGTCAAAAACCAAAAGGAAAACATTTACATGAAACGTCAAGATAGAGAGCTCCACAGTCAAGCCTTGATGTTCTGGTTTCTGAGGCCTCAAATGCCTGCCTTCTCCTGCCCAAATCCACCCCTCCCGGCGCTCCTCCAGGATGTGATCCCACCCAGCCCAGCCGCTTCTCTGTCCCCATTGCTGAAGCCCAAGAGCCACTCAGATCAGCTGGACCTCTTGCCCCATCACAGCTTTTCAAACTACTACTGGGAGTGTCTCTTACAGATACCAGTTTTTCTTTTTCTTTCTTTCTTTTTTTATTGAAGTATAGTTGATTTACAAAGTTTCAGGTGTACAGCAAAGTGATTAATTTATATAAATACGTGTGTGTGTGTGTGTATATATACGTATGTATATATGTATTCCTTTTCAGATTCTTTTCCATTTTAGGCTATTACAAGTTATTGACTATTGTTCCCTGTGCTATACAGTAGGTCTTTGTTGTTTAGCTATTTTACATATAGTATTGTGCATCTGTTAATCCCAAATTCCCATTGATCCCTCCACCCCCACTTTCCCCCTTGGTAACCATGTTTGTTTTCTATGTCTGTGAGTTTATTTCTGTTTTAAGTTCATTTGTATCAAATTTTTTTAAGATTCCACATATAAGTGATATCGTATGATATTTGTCTTTCTCTGTCTGACTTACTTCACTTAGTATGATAATCTCTAGGTCTATCCATGTTGCTGCAAATGGCACTATTTCACTCTTTTTATGGCTGAGTAATATTCCACTGTGTATACATACCACATCTTCTTTATCCATTCACCTGTGGATGGACATTTAGGTTGCTTCCATGTCTTCACTATTGTAAATAGTGCTGCTGTGAACATTGGGGTGCATGACCAGTTTTTCTTGATATGAAATAAATATTTTTCACTAATGAGTTTCAAGTATATGGTATATTCAGACTCGTTTTCTCTTATAGAGCTGCAGAATAAACACAATAGCTCCATAAACCAGGGATCAGCAGACTTTTCTTAAAGGGCCACATATGAAATATTTAAGCTTTGCAGGCCAGACAGTCTCTGCTGCAGCTACTCAACTCTGTTCTTATACCAGAATTCAGCCAAAGACAATACAAAAATGCATGAGCATGGCTATGTTCCTATAACACTTTATTTATGGATGCTGAAATTCAAATTTCACATGATTTTCACATGCCATGAAATATTCTCCTTTTGAGTTTTTTCCCCAACCATTTGAAAATGTTAGATCCATTCTTAGCTCACAGGCTGTACAAATAAAGGTGATGGTCCAGGCTTGGCTGGTAACATGTATAGGACTTGGTAACATTTGAGTCTGCATAGCTCTGTCACTCCATGAGGACAGGGATCCTATGGGTCCCTCAGGTTCACTGCTGAAACCCCAGTGCCTGACATAGTGTCTTGCACCTAGTAGGTTCTCTCAACACATTGGTTGAATAAATGATTGTGTGAATATAAGAATGAATCCCAGACCTATTTTAAGCTCTCTGATAGACTAAAGAGATCAATGGGTCATAGCTATAAGGAGTTACCACATGAAAAACTAGAGACTAAGTAGAGAATGCTCAGTTGTACTAAGTGACTTGGAGAAAGAAGAACGCAATGGAGACTAGAATAGTTTAACAGGCTTATTGCAAGAGTAGACCTTAAACTTATCTTTGAGGCAGTTAGGTAGAAGAGATAAAGGAAAAGGTGTTGGGGGTTATTATTCCAGAAGGGGGAGTTGCAAAAATATTTTGGTCAGATACATCTTTATCAGACTCTACTCCTCTGCAAAATTTCTTTTTGGAAGCTGGAATCTTATTCAGTGGATCACCAAGGGGGAGGTGAGGAGAGTTCTGGAGTTTTGTTTTCAAAAAACATTGTTTGTTTTTTTCCAGAGATACAGATGTGCACACGGTAGCCTCCCTGCTGAAGCTCTACCTCCGAGACCTCCCAGAGCCAGTAGTCCCCTGGAGCCAGTATGAGGGGTTCCTGCTCTGTGGGCAGCTCATGAATGCAGATGAGGCAAAGGTTTGTATCTCAATAGAGTTAGTTGTCCTGCTTCTCTGCAGTCCCCATCTGCAGCATC